CGAAATTCATAGTTTCTATGTGTTGATTACAAGTGGTACAAACTCGATATGTGGTATCACATAACCATAAAGTGGTGTTGTCTTACTCTAGATCTGGTACTACTTTTTTTAAATATTGACCACAATTGAAATAATCTATTTTTGTTTTCCAAAAGTAGGTACTAATTGATCAATAAAAGGTACTAAATAGAAGATAAACAGGCACTATTTCAGCCAAAACTGGTACCATAACTGTATTAAGTATTATTTTTCCATTATTGCGTTGATTTCGTGACAAATTTACAATTAAACTTAATTAACCAAATTTTATATATCATATAAACAAATGTGAGAGTGATTATGGGTCGTATAAACCTCATTTACGACCGAAATTCGGTGTTTTAATATGTACATTACATGTGGTACTAAAGATATGATATGTGGTTCTGAAGTCCCATAAAGTGGTACAACCTTACTCTAGGTTTGGTACTACATTTTTTTAATGTTGACCACAATTGAAATAATCCATCTTGGTTGACCAAAAGTTGGTACTAATGGATCAAAAGTAGGTACTATGTATAGACAAATGTGGTACTATATTTGATAAATCAGGTATTGTTTGATGAATCATGATTTTACTATTCCTTCATGTCTACCATGTCACGTGGATCGTTAATGTGTGATTTAGATGAAAAAAAATGGAAGTTGAAACATATAGGTAGAAATTGAAGTAGTCATGTATAATGATTTCATGAGATGAAGTGCGTCATTCTATGAAGTAAAGTGTAGTAGTAGTGTTTTCTCATTAACGTGTGGATTTCATGACCATTTTGAGATTAAAGTCAATGATAAACATTTTTAAATCTACTACAAACTAATCTGAGAGTTATTATGGGTCGTATAAACACCGTTTGCGACCGAAGTTCGGTGTTCTAACATGTTCATTACATGTGGTACTAAAGACCCGATATGTGGTACTAAATTCTCATAAAGTGGTACTACCTTACTCTAGGTCTGGTACTACATTTTTTAAATATTGACCATGATAGGTCGAAAAATGTGCATGTTTTATATATTTAATGGTATATTTTTATACTGT